CATGTTTAAAAAGCTACTGGTTTGGTTGAACTGTTGGTTTAAAAAAGCTACGATCCGACAATCAGCTGTGCCACATGGTTTAGCTTTGCTAGAAAGCAGGATTTCCTACTTTCTAGCAAAGCTAAACCACACAGCACAGCTGATTCCTCCTCCCTTCCTTGTTTTACTTACCTTCCCAAGCCGCCTTTTGGTTCGTGCTGTGCCCACGCACATGCGCAGTACGCGCCAAAAGGAGGCTTGGGAAGGTAAGTAGAACAGCCGGGGGGGGGATCAGCTGTGCCATGCAGTTTAGCTTCACTAGAAAGCAGGATTTCCTGCTTTCTAGCAAAACTAAACTGCGCGGCACAGCTAATCGTCTAATCGTAGCTTTTTTTTTACTACCGGTTCACCCGAACTGGTAGTTTTTATCACTACTGGTTTACCTGAACTGGAGCAAACCAGTAGCATTTCACCCCTGCCCTATCCTATCTCCTTCTCTCCCTCAGACTTGCCCTACAGAAGGCTCCCCTATCCTATTCCGTTCTCTCCCTCAGCCTTGTCCCACAGAAGGCTTCCCTATCCTATCCCCTGGTTGCTGCTGTGAAAGTAAAACTGAAACTCCTCTCCTGTGCTTGTGTTTTGCATTTGGAACAGATTTCTTTTCAGATGGGGAGGGGGAGTAGAACTCCTTATCATCAGAGGGCTGTTTGGAAAGTGAAACAGATTTTGCTTTGTGAGCAAGAAGGAGACAGGAAGGAGCCTGGCTGTGGCTTAGCTCAAGTGTTCTGTATTAAAGCTGCTTCCTGCTGTGAAAGTAAAACTGAAAGTGAAACTTCTCTCCTCTGCTTGTGTTTTGCATTTGGAACAGATTTCTTTTCAGGTGGAGAGGGGGAGTAGAACTCTTTTGCATCAGTGCATGTTAATAATAATATAGGAAATACTAATGCTCTGATGGTCATTTCAAAAAATCCTTTCTTAGTGAGCACTTAGAAGCCAAGAGGAACATACGTGGCAAATTTCAAGTTTCTAGGCTTTACAGTTCTGGAGATTTTGTGATTATGGTGTGAGTGGTTTTTGCTTTTATATATAGAGATGATAAGAGATATGAGATATGAATTATGAGATATAAGATATGAGATATACATACACACAAACACACTGCCCACCACCAGGAATTCGATCTTAACTGTCTCAAGGTTGACTCAATCTTCCAAGGTCAGTAAAATGAGACCCAGACTGCTGGGCCCAATATGCTGACTCTGTAAACTGCTAGAGAGTGCTTTAAAGCACTATGAAGTGGTATATAAATCTAAATGCTATTACTATTGCTACATTGAAATCTCAAAATATATCTCTCTCCCTCCCTCTTCCCCCCTCTCAAATTTGTTAATGTGTTGACCCTACATGTTCTCTTTTATTTCAGAAAGCTAAACTCAAATAATACCATTACATTACTGTAGAAGTAAATTGCAACCTAAGTAAAGAAATGAATTTCAGAGCTCTGTTATCAAGGAAAGTATCTCTGTCCACCATCTATTCAAATACAAAATTTAGCAATTCCACTCTTAAATAAAGAGTTGGAACAAGTATCAGCTTTCCTATCCTATGAAGAATCCAATCTCCTTTTGTGACACTGAGTGCATCCTAAGTTATATTTTAAGTTCCATAATTTTACTTACGTAATCCATTTATGCCCCAATGAGTTCTTTTCCTTGCTCTCCATTTCAGACTTTTGGGGCCTCTGGATAAACATTGATCACATTCTTTGTCACTGTTCTATTATCATCACTGACCACCCATCTCTTCAAACCCATGAGCTTCTCTATAACCGAAATATATTGCAAGGAACACTTCAATAAAGGAATAAATAAATCCTGTGTCTCAGCAAACAAAACCAATTCATCTCATAATGCAACCAGCCATTGGCCAAAAAATGAAGGACAGGGATGAGGTAGAACTATCTGAAAGCTGGAAACATCATAGTACTATGAAGATTGACCTCCTGGCTTCAGTGCAGGACACCCCCATGCATCCAGTGGCTAAACCCTGGGCTCCCTGAAGCCTAGAATCAACCATGAAATGGTGGTGGGATAAGACTCTGCAAACTGATATAAATGCATGTTTTAATTTCACAGAGAAGATTTAGCAGCATGTCTAATAGACAAGTTACAAGCCATTATCATCATAGAATAGACTTTGCACTACCACTCTATACTCTTGCAAATGGCATCTTCTTCCAAAAATTATAATGCAGTGTGCTATGTAAATCCTTCTGAAGATCAGATGGTTTAAACAGTATGTCCATATACAAATAAATCATAGGATTAGCTGTGGGGATTTGCATTTCCTTTAGGAAGCTTATTGCTTAATACATGCAGAATCCAACTCATGCTTCACTGGGTTTAAGCAACACCTTAAATAACAAACACTATATTTGCATAGAAGGGTGACTCCCTATAAAATGTGCATGCCTTTTTCAAAGATGGTGATGTGCATATGCCAAAATGGTTCATCTAAGAGTATTAGGTGAGTTAACTTGCATAGAGACTTTTCAAGGTCCATGATATGTACTTTGCTCTGCTGAAATTAGTATAATTTCTCTCTGAACAGGGTTCACCTCTGAATTATGACTCGACAGTATTGAGGCCCTGCTTTTCTTCTGAAAAAATGGACCTGATTAAAGTGGATTCACTAAAACCTGCCCAGTCCCTGGGGACTATTGAGGGGGAAGGGAGTTCAATCTTGATGAACTTTAGAACATAATTCCAAGCAAAAACCACTAGATAACCAATCACATAAGGAGGTAGGAAATAAAAGAAGAAGAAGAAATAAAAATAAAGAAAAAAAGAAAAACATAATGAAGTAGAGAGTAATGGAAAAGATGGAATTCCCAGTTACAAAGTAGGAGATATAAAGAAACATACCAAGACCCATAAAGGACTCAAATGCCTATATGCTAATACTCAAAGTTTAGGAAACAAATAGGATGAACCTGAGAAAACTCTGCAGCAAGTTGGAGATCAAACAGATTCCTAAACAACTTAGCTGACAACTTTGTCATCCAAAAAGTAGAGAAGGGAACTAGAGGAAAAGCTATACTGGACCTAATTCTTACTAATAGAGAAGAAGTGATAGAAGGAGTTGAAGTTGCCTGAATCTTGGACGAGAGTGACCATGTCATACTGGAATTCAATAAAATACAAACACCAGCAATATAATATAATCCAACCAATGTCTTAAACTTTAAAAGAGCTGATTTTAACAAACTCAGCCAAAGAAAAATTCTGTGGATAAAAATCCTAAAGGGGAAAACAACTCAAGAAGCATGAAAAACTCTGAAAAATATGATCATAAAAGCCCAGTCCAACACAATACTACTGGAAAAGAAAAACAAGAAATCCAAGAAGAAACCAGCATGGTTGCATAAACATCTCTTTGATAAACTGAAAGACAAAAATGATAAGTACAAAAAATGGAAAGAGGCACACTTAACTAAGGCAGAATATCAGCAGATAGCCCAAATATGCAAAGATGAAGTCAGGAAAGCAAAGGCTCAGAATGAACATAGACTTGCAAAAAAAAAAAGTCAAAGATAATTTTTTAAAAAGGTTCTTTCAATATATACATAACAAGGAAAAAAAATCAAGGAAACAGTTGGTCCACTAAAGAATGAAGATGGCAAGGAAGTAACAGGCAGTAGGGAGAAAACAAAGTTGCTAACTCATTCTTTGCATCAGTCTTCACACACAAAAAGCCCAACCTAATAAACACATAACTGTAAAAGACAGACTAAAAATTAAAATTAAAATAAGCAAGAAAATGGTATAGAACACTTACATCCCAGAGATCTGAAGGAGCTGGCAAACATTATCTCAGAACTACTGTTATCTTTCAAAAATCCTGGAGCCATAGGGAACTACCAGAGGATTGGAAAACAGCTGATGTGATTCCCATCTCCAAAAAAGGAGGACAAAAAAAACAGACCCGGGAAACTACAGACCAATCAGCCTAACATCAATACTGTCCAGTTTTCAAGAGACTACCTCAAGTTTTCTTGGCAAGGTTTGTCACTGTCTCCTTTCTAGGACTAAAAGAAAATGACTAGCCTAAGGTCACCCAGATGACTTTGTGCCTAAAGCAGATGAGAACTCATGACCCCCTGGTTTCTATCTTGATGCTTTAACCACTACACCAAACTGTCTCTGTAGCAGTCTTTAAAAGCAATATTGAAATTGAGAAATAGTAAATTTAAGTTCTTATTTAAAATGAAATACCTTTACTATCTGGTGGAACAAATGCCAACAGGATATATTGAGATAGAGATTTTTACATATGGGATATCCCTTGAAGAAGCATTTTTCATGAAAGATAATAAATTGTGCCTGTTGGAAATGGAACAGCTGCAAATCTTAAAGAATGGCTAATGGCAAATTGGAGAATAAGGTTTTAGGAATATTCAGATAGCACAGTATCACACAGATTAAGACTATAGACTGTTTCTTAGGGAAGGGAAGGGAAGGGAAGGGAAGGGGAGGGGAGGGGAGGGGAGGGAGGGGAGGGGAGGGAAGGGAAGGGAAGGGAAGGGAAGGGAAGGGAAGGGAAGGGAAGGGAAGGGAAGTCTTGTGACAATGTCACCATAGGATATGGGATCACATTTTTTTTATCCTTTTAGAGCACTTCTAGTATAGAACCCTGTGGAAACCTATCCTAAACATTTTCTTTTTTCTATTTGAAAAAAGATAGATGCAGCTGAAAGTAAGCAAATTGCCACTGAATTTTAGGTTGTATGATTAGAGGGTGGGGTTGGGTGCTCAGGAAGTACAAGAAATAGATGTGATTAGTTGCATTTATAGGTGTGCTGCTTGTGTATTTAGGAATATAACCTCTGGCTGAATTCATTTCCAAAGTAGAGCAAAGAGTAGTTTCATTGTAATTGTGCACAGGATAATGTCTTCAAGGTACAGAAGAGTAAATGAGTGAAGTTCATGGTAAAGTCAACTAAAAGAAATGAGGATACATACCAAACAGCTTCTACTGTGTGGTGCCAAACTTGTTAACTGTAATGAAATTGGAATGTGGAACTCATTCTTTCCAGTAATGATAACCTGTTGAAAGAGAGCAGATGGTGAAAAAGAGGTTAATACTGAACAGCAGAGAAAAAAATAGAAAATGGAGTGAAGAAGGATAAACGGAGAAGCTTCAATTATTATGACTTTACTAATTTGCTAGAGGGAAAAGATTTGAACTGTTAGTGTTGATGGCAGGAGGCACAATGATCATGATGAAAAACCGATTTACTGTAATTACATACTGAAGACAACAGAATATAATTTTCAGTGTATGATATTTTTGTATATAATGTTTAGCCTCCAATTGTAAGATTTGCTACTCCAATAAATACATTTGAATGCTGTACTACAAGAGCATAGAATTATAAACCATAATGTTGACTGCCATTTTTGTAAAAACATTTTTTCTATGCAAAAGATGGAAATAACTCAAATGAAACATAGATTTAGGAGCAGGGACAGTCTGATGTTGTGTGTATTGAAATTAGACAGGAATTTTAAAAAATAGACTAAATTAAAATATATATATTTAATAGCTATTAAGTCAGGTGATTGTTTTCAATAAAACAGTCTCGTGGTATGATAAACATTTCATATACACTCTCATGTTTTTGTTTTAAAATACCAATGGCATTGTTGGATTGTGAGTGGGAACATAAGAACTCTTGATTAGGCACCATCATTTAGTAACCTTAATTAAAATCATAACCATAATCTTTCATCCTTAATGTCATCCTAGCACTACAATTTAATGGAAATTTATTGAAGTTTCAATTATTTAATATAAGGATGATTAATGCAGTTAGTAGTCATAGTTCTGTTCAGAGATGATCTGACTGAATGCTGTTCACACATGGTTTTCATTTGTTTATTAGTGCAGAATCAAGGCCAGTTAGGTGTGAACACCAGACAGACATTATCTTCAATAATTACAGCAGGAAAAAAAATTAAGCGGACCTATTTGTCATGTCCATAAGCATAGGGATAGCACTTAAACTTTCTTGCTTCTGGCTTCAACTGGCGAAGGAGAGGGAGGGTGATTTGTTAGGGGGGGCAGGCCCGGCACAGGGTCGTGTTAGGGGAAGTGCAGAGCGGGGAGTGGAGGGGGGTAGTGTTGGTATGGAGGAGGGCGATTCCATCAGGACTGTTGGTGGGAGGGGCAGATATGGTGGGAGCAGGGGGCCACATCGTGTTGTGGGGGTTCGTGCTCGCTGTCTCCAAGCGGTGACATGCTCCAGCCCCCAATGCTCATCTCGTTCCCTGGGGTATCCAGAGTCTCAGAGCCCTGGTCTTAGGCTGATGTTGTTCAACCCCAGGTCCATGGTCAATAAAGCCCTCCTCATCTGTGAGCTGATTCAAGAGGGGGGAGCGGACCTGGCGGGTATTAAAGAGACCTGGTTGGGCCAGGAGGGGGGTCCCCCTTTTGAAATGTGCCCACCAGGTTTCCATGCATTCCATCAGCCGAGGGCCCAGGGCAGGGATGGGGGAGGGGCGGTTATTGTAAAGGAAAGTCTTGATCCTAGGGAGGCCACTGTACCTCAGATAGCCGGATGTGAGTCTCTCCTTGTGAAGTGGGGCCATGGGATGCAGGTGGGCTTGCTGATTGCATACCTGGCTCCCTGCTGCGTGGCAGCAGCCCTGCCCGAGCTCCTCAACATCATAGCCGGGGTGGCGGTTGATACTCCCAGGCTTTTGGTCATGGGGGATTTCAACCTGCTGTCCATCAATGAAACATCGGAGGTGGCTCGGGAGTTCATGGCTTCCATGACAGCCATGGACCTGACTCAGTTAATTCATGGCCCTACTCACATAGGAGGACACACTCTGGACTTGGTTTTTGTCTCTGGTCAGTGGTTGAATGGTCTAGATACAGGGACATAGTCATCGAACTCTTGTCATGGTCAGACCATTCTCTCCTTAGACTTGACTTCCTGACCGCTGCACCTCACCGCAGGGAGGTGGAACCGATTAGGTGGTTCCGGCCTAGGGCCTGATGGATCCTGATAGGTTCCAAATGAAGCTTGGGCCATTTCTTGAGACTCTGGCTCACGACTCGATGGAAGACCTGGTGGCTGCCTGGGATAGGGCGGCCGCTGGTGCTTTAGATTGGGTCATGCCTTTGCAGCCTCTGACCCGGCGCCGAATCGGCCCGGCTCCTTGGTTCTCCAAGGAGCTGAGGGAGATGAAGCGCCGGAAAAGATGCCTAGAGAGTAGTTGGAGGGCTAGTTGTTCTGAATCTGACCGAGCACTAGTGAGGTCTTATATCAAGACCTACTTAGTGGCGATAAAGGCAGCGAAGTGTAACTACTTCTCTGCTCTTATCGCATCGGCAGATAATCACCCAGCTCCCCTGTTTAGGGTGACCCGCTCCCTTCTCCACCTGGGAGCGTGGGAAGACCCCTTGCAAGGATGTGCTCAGGATTTTGCGCATTATCTGCATGATAAAATCGCTCAAATCCGGGATGGCCTGGACTCTGATTGGGTAGGTTCAGGTGAGGTGTTCGAGGTGGGTCTTGAGAATGTTATCTGGGAGGAGTTTGACCCTGTGACTCCCGAGGACGTGGACAGGATGCTGGGGAGGTTGAACGCAACCACATGTTTACTGGACCCGTGTCCCTCCTGGCTGGTGCTGGCCACCCGGGAGGTTACACGAGGCTGGCTCCAGAGGATTATAAATGCTTCTTTGAGTGAGGGTTTCTTACCTCCCGCCTTGAAAAAGGCGGTGGTGAGGCCCCTCCTCAAGAAGCCCTCTCTGGATCTGGCTGTTTTGGCAAATTACCGTCCTGTCTCCAACCTTCGTTTTGTTGTGAAGGTTATTGAGAGTGTGGTTGTGTGGCAGCTCCCACAGTACCTGGATGAAACTGTCTATCTGGATCCGTTCCAGTCCGGCTTCAGGCCTGGGTACAGCATGGAAACGGCATTGGTCGCGTTGGTCGATGATCTCTGGAGGGCTCGGGACAGAGGATGTTCCTCTGTTCTGGTCCTATTAGATCTCTCAGCGGCTTTTGATACCATCGACCATGGTATCATGCTGTGCCGGTTGGAGGGGTTGGGAGTGGGATGCACCATCTTATGGTGATTCTCCTCCTATCTCTCCAACCGGTCGCAGTCCGTGTTGGCTGGGGGGCAGAGGTCGACCTCGAGGCACCTTGTTTGTGGAGTGCCACAAGGGTCGGTCCTCTCGCCTCTCCTGTTCAACATTTATGTGAAGCCGCCGGGTGAGATCATCCGTGGATTTGGGGTGTTGTACGCTGATGACACTCAGCTATACATCTCCACCCCAGACCACCCCAACAATGCCCTTGAAGTGATGTCCTGGTGCCTGGAGGCCGTGCGGGTCTGGATGGGGAGGAACAAGCTCCGACTCAACCCCTCCAAGACCGAGTGGCTGTGGTTGCCGGCGTCCCGATATAGCCAGCTGGTGCCATCACTAGCTATTGGGGGTGAGTCATTGGCCCCCACGGAGAGGGCTCGTAACTTGGGCGTCCTCCTGGATGCAGGGCTGTCTTTAGAAGAGCATATGATGGCCGTGGCCAGGGGGGCTTTTTATCAGGTTCGCCTGATACACCAGTTGTGGCCCTTTCTGGATCGGGACTCCTTATGCACGGTCACTCAAGCCCTCGTCACTTCTCGCCTGGACTACTGCAATGCTCTCTACATGGGGTTCCCCTGGTCCAGAATGCAGCCGCGCGGGTAATTATGGGGGCAACATGGCGCTCCCATGTAACACCTCTCCTGCATGAGCTGCACTGGCTCCCGGTGGTCTTCCGGGTGCGCTTCAAGGTATTGGTTCTCATCTTTAAAGCGCTCCATGGCTTAGGGCCCGGGTACTTACGAAACCACCTTCTGCCACCGATAACCTCCCACCAGCCAATTCGCTCCCACAGAGAGGGTCTTCTTAGGGTGCCATCAGTCAAGCAATGTCGACTGATGACCCCCAGGGGGAGAGCCTTCTCTGTGGGGGCACCCGCCCTCTGGAACGAGCTACCCCCAGGAATACGACTGATCCCGGACTTCCGTACTTTCCGCCGAGCATTAAAGACCTTCTTATTCCAGCAAGCCGGGCTGGCTTAAAATTTTAATGGGTTATTTTATGGGGAAAGGGTTTTAAAATTTAGGGAAGCCAAACTGATTTAATTCTGTTTTAATTCTTTTTAATTTTTATACTGTATGTGTTTTAAATTTTGGCTGTTCACCGCCCTGAAGGGAGGTGAGCGGTATACAAATTTAAATAATAAATAAATAAATAAATAAATAAATAAATAAATAAATAAAATAAAACTACTGACTCACAGACAGTTGCTATGGTAAATCATAGTTTACTCAAGGTCAAGGGATAACAACAATCAGAGCATGCAAACCAGAGTCTCAGATACCTGCCTGAATGTTTTGCTTTTATATAGGAGTATGCAGAAGAGTAGTCCAAAATCAGTCAAAATTCCAAGAGCTGAGTCAGCCAGTCAAAGGTTCAAGGTTTCTTACACAAACAGGATTCACAGGAATGGCAGATAAATCTAGAATTTATCTTTGTTTCCATTTGCTTTAAGCTATCTTGCTTTAAATTTGTAGGAGCTCTTAACGGTGACATAAAACTGATTTTTTATTGTAGACTAACAACTGCTATCTTTGTTTCAAAAGAGTCAGGCATCTAATTTCAGCAGCCAGGATTAAATAGTTATTTTTTAAAAGAGAGAGAGAAAAGGATAGTATATTTGTCATTAAGCAACAGCTTTTGGACATAACTCAAATAGCCACCAATGATGATTCTTTCAGAAAACCTTTTAAACACATGCTGTCCCTTGCAGTTCGAGACAAAATATTTGTAGTATCTTAACTCATGCATCACTTTTAGTGATATTCATTGCTAGTGTTAATCGGATTTATTTTGCTAGTTTACTTATTTATTTGTTTAACATTTGTACACCACTTTTCATTTGGGTAAATCCTAAAGCAAATTACCATGCTGAAAAGAAATGAACAAATTGGATTGTGGATATTATCCTGAGTTCTAAAAAAGTAAAATGGCACTACTATAAAAATGCATAGATCACTCACAAGATAGTAACAATGTACATCAGGATTTGTTAAATGGAGTTTCTATTTTCATTGGTCTAAACTGGAAAAGCCAAAATGAACATACCTGGTTTTCACCAGCTGAAATTTTACAGGCAAACTATGAAGTTGGTGATACATTTCACTTTCATTGAAACCAATGTATAGGTAGGTATTCAAACCATGTGCCTTTCAAATCCGATTCTCTTGTTTTTCTTTCTGAGAACTCTGTATTTGTTGTTCTGGACAAGAAAGTTATGAGAATTATCCTTGTGATTATGGAATGCACATGATGATTTTTAGACAGATTGGTGTTTTATAAGATAAAAGGACATTTTACAATACAAAAATTTAGTAGTTAAGGTTCCATGCCAGAAACCAGGAGACTGTATGTGTTCTGTCCCCAACCCCACGCACACACACCAACAGACGTTCAGGAGTTAAAGACCAAACCAGCCGGCAAAATCCTTTTCCTTATGATAACGTAACTTGGCAACAACCTAGTGGCTGCCTGCCAAGAGTTTATTATTTACAAAGAGGAGAGATAACTTCTCTCCTCTTCTGATACATCAAAGGAAAGCAGCTCAATAATTACAATCAAGTCCAGAGATAATCCAGTCTTAAAGCAAAAGTCCAGCAATGCAGAATGGTGTGGAAGCTTTCAGCTTTGTTCATCACAAGGTTTGACTGGCCACCACGCTCCCTTTTATATCCTGTGGGGTGTGGTCCAGTGACTCAGCCTAATCTCAGGCACGCCCTTTCTTCTGTTGCACGCGCTTATCTCTGCGACGCTGGCGTGGGTCCAGCCAAGACTCATTACCCTCATCACTGTCCATCTGTGGCTGCGTGGACGTGCTTGCCCTTCAGCGGACACTGAAGGCATTGCCAGAGAGGAGGGTCCTGGAGAGGGAGGCCTTGCCAACTTCTCCCCTTCACTCTCGGAGTCCTCTCCTGACGATGACACAGGCTCAGGCAACGGAGCCACAACAGTATGCTTCAGTTACACTTTAGGCATGAAAGCCAGCTGGGTGACTTTGAGCCAGTCACTCTCTCTCAGCCCACAATATCACAGTCAGATGAAAAGCCAGCCAGTCAATTTCTGTCACAACCAATGGATCAGCATTTGGCTGGTCTGAAAAAGCAGGTTCTGTGCCTTTGCAAAAAATGTTAGGAAGCAAAAAAAAAAAAAAAAAAAAAAAGATTTAAAGTGAATTCTAATGGTCCTCCCTGGATGTGACAGAGCTGATGGTTAGAAGTTGAGATGGTGATATAAGTAATGAGCTCTGTAGTTTTTCTATAATATAGGTTAAGTTAGCTAGTCAACATATGCTGCAAATCTTTTGCCAGAATTCTTTTGCTTTTCTACATGTCCACCACATGCGGTAGTAGGTCCCCAGTATTTAGTCACAGTTCCAGCATTTAGGTGATAAATTGTGTCACATATTGTAATGAGCTCTGTAGTCTTTTCTATAATATAAGTTAAATTAGCTGGTCAACATATGCTGCAAACCTTTTGCCAGAATTCTTTTGCTTTTCTACATGTCCACCACATGTGGTAGAAGGTCCCCAGTATTTAGTCACAGTTCCAGCATTTAGGTGGATAAATTGTGTCACATATTGATAAAATGTGGTTGGAAGAAATGACCAGACAGAAATTGGAACTCAAACCAGAATTATTCCTATTAGGAATTATAAAAGAAGATCTAAGTAAAGGGTTAACATATTTAATATTGCATATTACAACAGTGGTGAGAATGGTTTATGCCCAACAGTGGAAGAGTGAAAACATACCTAAAGAATGGAAATAATAAAGAAAATTCTTGACTGTGCAGAATGTAATAGACTGACGCTAGAACTGAAAAATAAAGGAGAGACAGACTACTATGAGATTTGGAATAGATTTTGTCAATGGCTAGACTTAAGGAATAGAAGTTGGAAGAGATAAGAACAAGGATGCATAGATTGAAACAAGAGGCAATATATGTAAAATAGTATGTAAGGGTAAGCATGTATAAGAGGTTAAGTATGTGTATATAATTAGTAAGTAGTAATGTATATTGAATACATAAGAGACTTGTGTTATACTTTGTATTGCAGAGATATCGCCAAGATGGTTCCACCATGTACAATTTTTTTTAACAATAAAGATTTTTTAAAAAGACATATGCTGCAAAATACGGTAATGTGACTGCTAATCACATTGATAACAATGACGTAGAACAAACAACTAAGTATTTTTTCTCAGTACCAAGATGTCAAGACTCTGAAGCACTTTTTTTTTTTTTTTTAATAAAAGGCACTGCCAGGCAGTTATTAAAATCATCCCCTCTTCTTCTTCCTCCTCCTCATCTTCCCCCTCCATGGTGTTTTACATGAGTTACAAATAGGGAGATTGCTCAGGTTGAAACTGAACAGTGCATAGCACACTGATTCTCCAAAATAAATCTTCATGAAGACCTACAGTATGACTAGATTAAAGCACCTTTAAAAATTATCCACTATTGATAAATGAATTTCTGTTTTGAATTTCCTTTCTTCCTTTTTCACGATCTGGAGTCTGGCCAAATCTAATGTACACTCCTACTGAAAAGCAGTATTGTATAACACATTATTAGTGACTGGAGAGAACAAGTATAAAAGTGATGTCAAGGAAGGTACTTAAAATGTGTCCATTTTAGACTCTGGCATACCAAGAGCTAATACCACAAACAGACCATCTGTACATTATTAGATGGTAATTTTAAGCCATGGCATGAACCGCAGGGTTTTCTGGGAAGATTCTACATGTCTGGATGGGTCAGATAGAGACATACTTTACAATATATAACACAAAGCCACCTTTTATTCATTACTGTGAATGAAGCTAGGTGCTCGTCAATTTGCACTCATCATCTGTTCTCTTGTCCTCTTTAAATCAATTCAGTATGGTTTTCAACACTAGCTACACCTCTTACCCTTAAGGTGGGAAATAAAATGTGTGAAGTAAAACTGGCCCAAGCATTAGTGAAGGTTACTTATCTGCAGAAATAAAGTTTTGATATAAAAAAGAAGTTCTGCTATGCTGAAACATCCTTTTTTTCCTTAGGCCCCTGATGAGGTTTCCACATGGTTCCCCGTTCCTAATTTAAAAACCAAGTTTGGCCTGGGTGACAAGACTGCTGACATTTGAGGAGTTGAATGACGCCAATTTGTTTGAACTTAGGAAAGCAGTATGACCGAAACATCATATTATAATACTGCTAAATAGTAAAAAAAAAAAAAAAAGAATGACATTTGGCAGTTGGGGGCTAGAATTTCATTCTTGAATGATAAAAAAAAAAATAGTTAACGGAAGTTCAGAGAGCATGGCTTTCGGAATTCTTTCCGACTTCAGTAACACGATGGCCATAGGAGACATCTGTTTTTGCTTCTGTGAAATGAAGTAATATGTTATGTCTCTTGGCATGTCTTTGCACTCTCCCTTCATGTTGCATCCATGTTTGGGTGTATGCATGCAATGAGACACACAGGGCAAGTGGCATACATTCCAGTCTGGTCATGTGAACAAGAGGGAGAAGGAAGGGGCTTAAGATGGAGAAATCAACAGGGCTTCAAGCTGTTCCAAATTGTCTCCTCTTATGGGAGACATTGTTTTCTGGATTTTTTTTTCTTCCTCCAAGCCTTCAGGCTGATCTGATCCATTTTGAACTTAATCTGTCTTATTCCAACAACTCCCACATAATTTGCATTTGTTCTGTTCAACTTTTAAAGAGTTGATCATGCTGAAAAAATAGATTCCTGAGATCCTTTGCACTGGAATGTTAGGATTGGAAAGAATAAAAAGTCAAATGCGTCTAACTTGATGCCATTTTGTAAACTGCATGGAGTTGGCAGCTATTTCCTTTCTTAGCTTCTTAGTCCTTAAATAAACAAACGATTAAAGGCAAGAAAAAGCCACTGTGTGTGATCACCTCACACTTATTTTCACCTCACTCTACTGTAAAGTTCTAACTTGTTCAGATCAGATTTTTTTTTTTACTTGATTAGATCAGCAGTTAGATGTAAACACAAACACAGTGAAAGTAATCACTGTCCCCAATAATGCATCATTTTCTTGCTGCTGCTTCCCTTATTCACTTCTCATAACTAAATCCATCTTTTTTTTTCTTTTCTGAAAAAAAAAAGATGAAATCAAACACAATTACCACAGTTTCAGCTAAATTATTAAATTGAGAGGGGGAGTTGTTGCAAAATTTCTAAACCAAGAAAAGTCAGAACGTAAATATATTTATTTGAGAAGAAAATTAAATACATATAAATACAATATTTTCTTCCTTAAGTCTTATCACCAGCACACTACGATAAGTGTGACAATGCACAAGTCAGCATTGCCAACCAGTAGAAGAATGATTTCATGGTGTGCCTTTTAAAACTAAAACTTCTACAATGGTTGCAAAGGGCAAACATTATTGTAATTCTTAGACAATTTGTGAGACTATAAAAACGTATTTGTTTCAAGTCAAGTGAAATAAAAAGAATATCTGAACTGAAACCAAAGCTTTTCCTTGGAATCATTTGCCTTTGTGACAAAAGATACTATGCATTCTGACAAAGTAATTGAGGAATAAAGAGTCCTAAAAACAAACAAACAAACAAAAGTATCTCACTGTGAATTATTTTACTTGCAGATTATGAGAACAGATACTCTAGCTGGGCTGCAAATATATGAATGTCCATTAATAGCAGCAAAGAGATGAGGTTTTCTTATCTCTATCTGCCCCTTAATATAGGGGGTGAAGGGAGGCAAATGACAAGATATATGTCATAATATGGTCATGCAAATGATGCATGTCAGAGATATGCACTTGATGTTGTGCTTTTTATGTTGGCATGGTGGTTGAGGATATCACTGGTGGATCCTAGTTATGAAATCACATCAGAATGTGATCTCTGACTGATAAAAGATTCTTCTAAGCTACTATTTTTAAAGTTTTTGCACACTAACTGGAATACCTTTAGACTGTCCCTCCCTACCAAAGCTTTTGCAATAAAAAAATAACATACTTGAGTAGTATTAAATCATAGAATTAGGAATAACCATAGGGGTCATCTAGTCAAACCCCCTATATAAACATGATCCAGGACAGGGGGGTTAATTCTGGCTACAGTTGACCAAGCCTTAAGAACAAATGCATACAAACCCAGAATTGAGAAGTCAACTACAGACAACAAATGCTGCCTCTGCAAAGGCGCACAGAGCCTT